CCAATTTTGAGCCTGTATGTACTACCTAGTTAGTATTGAAACATTTCATTTACATTTATTGGCCTGAAAATCCCGAGCGTCTTTGGCCGTGTACATACAAGTAGTAAAGTTGTACAAATGAGGGAGGAATGATTTTCGCTTGGCAAAATCACTTCGATAGTGCTCTCACCTTTCACATTTCGAATCTCATCTTGACTTATTTCAAAATGTATTTACCTTCTTGATTATGCCCTCTCACTTCCCTTATTTATTAAATTGCAGTATTTGAAATCTCAAGAGAAGCATCAGTATGCCACCGTTTAAGCGTCGGCGAGTTACTTCCGGTGCCGGTTCTGACCATCAGTCATCCTCCCAAGGACAATTGTCAAGAATCGGGTCTAGCTCATTACCAGCTAGTTCCATACCACTAGATGGATATCATTCGTTTTCAATGCACCTTTCTCCTCCCTGTAATAGAATATCGATGAACTCAAAATCAGCACGTGTAGCTTCACCACCATCAGTGCAAGATGAGGTCAACATTCTCGAAGCGGGAGAGAACGAAGCTGATATTCAAGACCGCGAAGATTGCGATTCCATGAATGAAGTGGTCATGGCTGTCGAAATGAAACGGCGTGGCACAGTAGGGTGCACATATTATCTCGCGAGAGAAGAAAGATTATGCATGGTGGCAGATATCAGTATGGCTGGACTTGACATAGTCGACACCCTAAAAGTTCATGTGAATCCTACTGGTAGGGTGTTATGAAAGTGTTTGTATATCATTTATACTAACGATATCAAAGTAATCCTAATAAGCACCCGCTGCGAGGAGGTACTTGAAGAGCATCTTCAGAAAGATGCCAAGGGTATCGACCGAGGAGATGCCAGTATGTTTTTGGTGAAAGGTGCCAGTTGATGCGAAGCTAACCTTACAGACGATATATTTGGCTCATATATTCTTGATTCCCGACCGGCCTCAGAATTTTATTATGAGACCGCAAAGAACAAATTGGCTAGCTTGGGCATTGAAGGCCCAAGGGGAGCTGGAATGATGCTTGCTACACCTGCCGATGAACTAGCTGGAAATAACACTCATGATCAGGTAGACTCAAGTGGTAAAGGTCGTCAAGGAAAACTCATGAGACTCGCAGGCTGGATTGATTTGGAGAGCAGAATCTCAGTAGGTCATACACCTTGCTTTCTTCACCCAAATGGCATTACATCTCAATTTCAATCAAGTAGATGTAGTCGACCTATAACAATTATTGAAGTGAGAACAACAAGCACCACATTTCTTTGCTAATAAACGTGCTTATAGGTTGGCTGTGCCGGTGCGGTGCTTAATTACCTCGGACGACGACGAAGTGTGGATTATCTTCCTAATGACGAGGCCGCATTGATTGCATTCAGGGTCCGCACCATCGAGATGTCTTCATTAACGGATATGATGTTCGTAAATGCAGACACATTATCATCACTCCAGATCATCCAGTCTGAGTCTCATCCGAACTCTCATATGCAAGGTCCAAATAAGTCTACTTCAGGATCAAAAGAGAGCCTATCTGTCTTTGGGCTGTTCTATCATTTGGCTAGCACACCACAGGGTAGGCAGAAGCTTCGAAAGATGTTCATGAGACCAAGCATAGATATTCCAGTAATTAAGGAAAGGCTCTTCACAATAGGTGTTTTTTTGATTCCAGAGAATGGACCTATATTACAAGAACTTCAGAGGAGCCTGAAGAGTGTCAAGGATATCAGAACCGTGGTAATACATCTTCAGAAAGGTGTAAGTGGAGGATCTACAAAGGCAACAGCAGTCAAAAGTGGCGTTTGGGGAAGCATCCTCTCGTTTACCTACCATTCGCTCAAGATACTAGAAGCATTGCGAGGGCTGACAGGCGATAAGACTATCATTGCTGGCAAGGTGAGAATGCCTACATCGTCCAAACTAAATAAGCTGATTCATTATTCTAGCTCCTCGGTGAAACACGCCCCAATGACCTTCTTGGTATTGGTCAAGCAATTACCAAGACGATAGACTTTGAGAGATCGGCTGAACAACATCGTGTCACTGTCAGACAAGGTGTAGACCCGGCGCTAGACGGGATGAAAAGAACATATGATGGAATGGAAAGCCTTCTCACCGAAGTCCAACAAAAAATGTCAGATGATATTCCTGAATGGGGTCGCCAATATGTCGAAAATTGCATATATTTTCCACAACTCGGCTTTCTGACGGTAGTACAACTTGATTCTAACACAGGCGAAGGAAAATATAAAGGTGAGGGAACTAACGAAGATGAATGGTCTCAAACGTTTGTCAGTGACGAGAAAGTATACTATAAGAATGGCCATATGAGACAAATGGACGAGTATATCGGTGACATGTATAGTATGATTACAGGTGAGTTAATCAGACATCATTCTACAGCAAACGCTAATCGTACGTCATTCATTAGACAGAGAGATTGAAATCATACATCACCTCACTGTGCGTGTACTGGAACAGGAGAATCTTCTTATCACAGTGTCAGATCTATGCGGAGAACTTGATAGCCTCGTTGCACTGGCTCTTGGGGCTGTTAAATATCGTTTCAATCCACCGACTATCACTCAAGCCAATGTAATTGACATACGAGGCGGACGACATCCTCTTCAAGAGCTTACAGTCCCATCATATGTACCAAATGACTGTTACCTTGTGGGCGGATCAGGACACTCCATTCCAATTGACCAAGAACCTCCCTCGAGTACTTACCAGGACTCGGAAGGCATCGAAGGCCCAAGCATGCTCCTTATGACTGGGCCAAACTATTCTGGAAAGAGTGTTTATCTCAAGCAAACCGCTCTGATTGTTTATTTAGCCCATATTGGCAGCTATGTCCCGGCGGATAAGGCGGTCGTGGGTCTTACGGATAAGATATTAACTCGAATAACTACTCGTGAAAGTGTTTCCCGAAACCAGAGCGCCTTCATGATTGACCTGCAACAGATAGCTCTCTGCACAACCCTTGCAACCCACCGTAGTCTTGTGGTTATTGATGAGTTTGGTAAAGGCACCAATTCAACAGATGGCGCTGGCCTGGCTTGTGGCGTGTTCGAATATTTCCTTGGGCTTGAATCGCGTCGACCAAAAGTTCTCGGAGCAACCCATTTTCACGAAATATTTGAGAATGGATATTTGCCCCCAAGACCGGAATTGGCTTTCGGTCATATGGAAGTTCATGTGAACAAACAATCTGACCTAGCTGACAACCAAGTTACATATCTATATAATTTTGTGTTAGGTAGAAGTACTTCCAGCTTTGGTACATCTTGTGCTGCAATGAATGGAATTGATCCTGCTATTGTCGAAAGAGCTGAGGATTTAATATTGTTAGCGGCTCGGGGAGAGGACCTCATGCAAGCTGTTGCGGCAAATGCCTCGGAAAAGGATGCTCAAGACTTGAAGGGTGCAGAAACTATTGGCAGACGCTTTCTTGAGCAAAACTTTCCTCTGTCAGGTGGTAATAATGTCGTCATCGACGTCCGAAGTATTCTCCGAGACATTCTGGATGTCGAGAGTGGGCATGACATGAAACAAGGTTTCGAGAATTCGAGTTTGTAGAACCGCTGTCGATCTTTCTCACCAATGTTCGAAATTATGTTGATCAAGTTGATCATTCTAAATATAGCTTATAAATATGCAATGATCGCTATAATATCAACCAAGTTGCAAGATCTCTCAAACAGATACAATTTTCGTCTGATGATTGCAAATTATATTTCTACTTCCTTCAGATTGATGTCGAGATGCGAAAGATTCGTCTTTCGAATTTCGAAAATGTTTGGAGTAGGGCATGGCGGGGATCTCTTGGAACTTGTTGGGGCCCACATACTCTCCTGATAGGGCTGGAATGAAGCAACTAGCTTCATCATCAAATCACTTTGATGAATACTAGGCAAAATAACATCAATGCCTTGATCATTTTCGTCCAAATAAACATCACATCAAGTTTTTAACCCAGAATTCACAATTGCAAATTCTTTAAAACAAGCTAGTGAACTGCCGGGACCGAATAAGCAAGTATCTTTCCGTCTGTGATACTCGTCTAGTTTCAGAATAGGCCAATGTGCCCGTGATACTCTGTATAATTTTCATTTATTTGCCTGATCATGAAGGCGATACCAGCTAAGGATACAGAATTATGGTCCATATTCCTGCAAACAATGTCAGCAGAGACGAAGTCGTCTCTCTTCATTTCGATGGGACATTGAGACTGCAACGCGAATATATCAATTATTCATGCAGGAATACAGAGATTGAGAAATTGAATTTCACCGTTGGGTATATGCAAAAGAAGACGAGAATATAGTAATTTCTGATCAGATTAATGAATGAATAGTCCCGTCGTCCGAGAAAATAAGAGTTGATGGGAGGTATCGATGGTAAAGTCTGAGGGTAAAAGACTCCCCCACTGCGACTCGATCAGACCGTCAGTGCGAGATGTCAAGTAATGACATCTATAACTTTAGCCGCCACAGAGTTGTTGTTACTGGCGTCTATCATTTTTAAATTGGTTGCTAACAGGGAAGTTGGATGAAGATGCATGAATTACTCGCCTGCAGCTTCTTTCTGCTCGTTGCGTTGACCTCTAAGAATAGAACGTTCAACATAAGGGTATGAGGGGCGAAGAATTCCCATTTAAATTTGTCTTGGAGTTCAACTAGATCTTCAGTGGACCAATGCTTCTGTGTTGCACATTATGTGGGATATCTTTAGCGGGTGGTTGAAGTTTATGCTTCTTTTTTGGATACTGGAGTTGATGTTGCCAAGGACTTTGACAAGTTATAAGGTGGACTGTCATCACCGTGCTTCCCAATTCATCATCCTCATCATTCATACATTCATCCACTCATCCACCCAATCCCCAACAAAAAGCTGGTCTTTCCCAAAGCAGGTCTTTTAGTCCAAATATATATCATCATATCCACATAAAAAAAACCCCCCAGTTCAGTATCCATATCCAATTTTTACAATGCAATTCTCGAGCGTTCTCTTCTTGGCTCTTGCTGCCGCAACTGTCTCTGCTTCATCGGTAAGTTATTTCTGGCTTTCCACCAACTCCTCATCTCATCTAATATATTCCTAGGGCGTCTCTAGAAGCGGAACCGCTGTAGGTGCTGCTAAGGCAACCGAATTCGGAGCTGCAAAGCCCAGCATGGCTCCCCGCATCGTTCACGGGCCGTACCGCCGTAAAGATTCCAACGAGTCAGGGTCTGCCAAGGAAACCGGAGCTAAAGCTGATGGTGGCTCTGCAAAGGCAACTGGGGCTCAAGGAGCAGGATCTGCTAAGTCCACTGGGGGAGCAAGCTCCGGTAACGATGGCAATGGCTCAGCCAAGGGCAGTGGATCTGGTGGAAAGGCTTCCAAGACAGCAGAAGCTGGCTCTGCAAAGGCGACTGGAGAGAGCTCGACAAAGGGATCTGGAACCGAAAATACTGGCAAGGGATCCGCTTCCTCTTCAGGTAAAGGAGCAGCGTCAGCTTCAGGGGCTGCATCGGCATCCGGAGCTGCTGGCGCTTCTGCCACTTCTACTTCTCCAGGTTCGTTCTCCCCTGTCCATCTTAGAATTTTTGAAATTATCTTGCTGACTTCAATGCATTAGCTATCTCCACTGGTGGTGCCGCATCTTTATCTAGTAATGGAGGAATGGCTACAGTTGCTGGCCTTGGCGTTGCCTTCGCTGTTTTCATGTAAAGAAGCTTGCATTCTTTAGCGGTGTGATATTGCTCAAAATCAGAGTCATATGTTGAATTAGATGGAATTGGGTGGAACTGAGTTGAATTGGATTGAGTGATTTGTACATACCTTCCTGACTTAAATAGGGCGGCGTATTGGGCATTCTTTTGAGCGGGTGGGCGGCTTTGGTATTCAAAGATCGAGCTGGTCTCTGGTGACAGACGAAATAATCACTCGTTCTTATTTTTGACGCAACAGAGGATTTTGAAATCTGGCTATTCTTTTATGTAAATATGATTGAAGGGATCGTTCTTCAAACGCGAATGTTTGGCATTATTTGACTGCAAATAGAAAGTACTGCCACCGGTGAATTTTCTATTTGCGGATGCTTGGGGTCATACTTTCGTTCTGTATCCATTCCCGCCCAAGAAAACACAGTGGTCTTTTGATTGGTCAAAATTGCTGTCGAAAGCTTGATGAAGATGATAACAAAAGATTGTCTCCTAAGTAGGAGAGGTATGCAAAGATCCAGCCTGCAATAAGCAGAACAGCTGCAAAATCCGTCTGGCATATCGTTATATCGGATAGTGTACTCACTCTGAACACCAAATTAAGTTCAATTAGCGTACCTGTTCTTGATGCAGAGCTCATTCTAGACCATAATCCATATGAGTTACCTGAGCTATTTTGAATGTTCAAACTTTATGTATATTGAAACCATTCAGAAGATCGAAACACTGAGTCTGATGATACACTGCCCCAAGACTTGGTACAATCTGCAAAAATGATTAAAAATAATCAACTACGCTGTGCCATAATTTACATTACATTGAAATTTTAGCATTCGTTCTGTTTGCTCTCACCACGCAGATCAGAAAAAAGGAGGAAATTTCTTAACTCTGAAAGCAAAAGGGCATGTATGTCATTCTGAAACAAATTACATAGCGTAGGAAGAAGACCACATGCCGAGGAGTAACCTTATAATAACATCAGGCTGAACTTTATGTTGGAGAGATGTTGAATCTTCTCTGGTCAGATTGCTATCTTATCAATGCGTGGACTATCTATCTAAGACCCTCGCATTCTGAAAGATACTCGCTAGCAATATTCGTCAAACGGTCACTACAGTACACTCGAACATTGCTGACTATGCAATCCTTCTGAGTAGGTTGTACCAAATGACAATCAGAGACAATGAGAGACAAGGAAAACTTTCCTTGGTATGAAAATTCCTTTTCGGCCGAAATTTGGTACAAGGAGATAGTTCTGGAATTTTCTTTGACCATGAAGATGAATCAGTCGAATGCATAATGCCCGTATATGTAATATCTATCAATTTCGCTGACGTGCACTGGGATCAGACGCGAGTTCCTGAAATGTAACTGCTGGCGGTATCGCCCAAGGTACTAGGGCTGACCAGAATACGTGATCAACGAAGGGATGAGTGGATGGCTGTAATCGATATATCGTATTTCTCATCAACGGTATGTCCGCAACTCCCGCAGTGGAATGCGGAAGTATGATAAAGCACAACCACATATAACTTTATAGGATTCATTAGGTTTGTTAAAAATGGAAAAATATGACATTTGAAACAAATAACCTGAGGTTATTATAAGATTTTTCATATCCACTCAAAAAGACCATGGGTACCTACGATTATACGATTAGACCTGGACTTGGTATCTTCACATCCGGGTAATCAATCACATTAATTACGGTTGATTGGCTGACTTGTCTGTCAATCTTGGAATGCATTTTCTTCTTCAAAATAAAAGCCGATTCGGAATTACTTTTTTTTTATAGAAATTGGGTTCTGGGAGGAACCGAAAGAACAATTAACGTTTCCGGTCGAACTTCTCCGTGGCTCTTACTTTTGGGTTTTGACTCAAGCAATCAATCAAACTTTGGTTCCAGGACGAGAAAGAAAAGCTACGAGAGTCATTGCCTCGAACCTACCTAATTGGGTTAATCTCTTCATCCAATGATACGGTGGGAAAGAAAGGAAATGTGGATTTATGATTTCTAATCCCATGAAGATCTTCAGGGCAAGGTTGCAAACAGAGAAAGATGATATATTTCGTGAATCGTGATCTAGATAGTCGAGATAGTAATAAACCAAGGGAGTGGAATCACTGGATGGATCTTCCCTTGGAGCTTGATCGCTTATTGCCTAGTTCCGGCTTACCTCCCTTATCACCGTCACCGTTACCGCTTTCATCGCCCAACAAACAAGCGGGGGGGAAGCTCCTTTTTCTGGATACTAGCGCTAGTTGCAAGGTGCCATATATGATATATATATCGCACTAGAAAATGGGCCTCTTTCGTCATACGCTACACCACAAACTATGTTATGGTATCTTGGTAGCTTACCCGTTCGTCATCATTCTATTCTCCATCTCATTCGACTCATTAATACTCATAACCTTACTACTCGATACCCAATCCACTTTTCTTTTAGCTTCCTGTTCTAGAATAACATCCCATTCGTCTAGTTGATGGGTGGTATGGCAATCTTCGATTTTGGTTACACAATCTTTTGCCAATTTCCAGTTAAATTGTCTCTCTTCTTTGATTGATAAGCTGGGCACAGATCAGAAGCAAAATATGCTGCACCCCACCACATCCACAATCTGATACTACTAGGTCCAGGTGGCTGATAATATTTCACGGTATATTCTACAGGTCTCCCTGGAAGTGTAAAAACGGGCACACTAAGCATGCATGAGCCCCCTAAATTACTACCCTTTTGATATTATTGATTATTGATTTGTCGATTGGTAATCCTTCTCAATATTTGGAGCCAAGTTGATCAATTTGCTAGCACTAGTTTCTAGCATTACCTCCAATATGTCTTTCTAAGCCTCCCTTGCTCTTATATATATCTAGGGTCCATTTAGATTTAGATCTTTATTCTGTAAACACTCTATTCTCCCATTCACCGGCACTTTGCGTGCGACCACCGTCAAAATGTTTTATACACATGCTGAGCGGATGTACGCAGAGAGAGCTATCGAGGGACGAGAAGCAGCTCAAATTCCACTGCATTCGGATAACTATCGTGGAGAACTGGTTCAATCTCAGGACGGCTCGTCCTCAGAGAGCGAGATAAACAATGATGGAACATGGGGAGAAAATGAGCAAGGCAGGCCAGTCAATTGCTTGGCTGCTATGCACGACTACGAAGACTTGCGCCATCAACTCACGCATTTGTCGAGAACTCGTTCACAAAAGAGTGCAGCTACTGCCCGAAGAACATCGGCATTGAAGAGAACTATAACTAACGCAAGTCGCCGCTCACGAGCGACCGCTGGTGAAGATGTAGAGGCACAAGAAGAAGAGGAAAAGCTCGAAGAGGTGACGGCTGAGGACGAGGATGAATTTGTGCTGGGTGACTTTCTCAAAGACGGTCATTTTGAGAAACGAAACACAAGAGGGAGCGCGAAGAAGGTCGGTGTGATATACAAAAACTTGACTGTGCAGGGGGTTGGTGCGACGTCAACATATGTCAAGACTCTTCCATCTGCTATCATGGGTGTAAGTATTGCTCTGTTCCAAATTCACACAATGTATCAATCTAATTTGTACATTGTAGACTTTCGGACCCGACTTGTACAAGTTATTGACGCGGTTCATTCCTGTGCTTCCTAAACCTGGATCTAATGGCCTGAGACGCGATTTAATTCACGATTTTACTGGTTGTGTAAGGGATGGGGAAATGCTGTTAGTTTTGGGAAGACCTGGTTCTGGATGCAGTACATTCCTCAAAGCTATTTCCAACAAGAGGGGTGATTTTGCTGGTGTCACGGGAGAAGTCTCATACGGAGGGATTTCTGCTGAAGAGCAAGCAAAACACTACCGAGGAGAGGTAAACTACAACGAAGAAGATGACCAGCACTTTCCAACTCTTACAGTTGAACAAACTTTGGATTTCTCACTCCTAAATAAGACAAAGAAGCACGAAAAAGGAGATATCCCAACGATAATTACAGCGCTTTTGAAGATGTTTGGTATTTCTCATACGCGTCATACCCTCGTTGGAGATGTGAGTTTTCAATCCCTCTACCTGATTGCGATTTCGAAAAATGTATTCTGATAACTTTTGCAGGCTTTCGTCCGAGGTGTTTCTGGTGGTGAGCGGAAGCGAGTTTCTATTGCAGAAACCCTCGCTACTAAGAGCACAGTCGTTTCTTGGGACAACTCGACTCGTGGACTCGACGCATCAACTGCATTAGACTACGCAAACTCACTCAGAGTGATGACGGACATCAGCAATAGAACGACACTAGTCACCCTTTATCAAGCTGGAGAGCAAATATATGAGCTCATGGACAAAGTATTGGTAATTGATGAGGGACGAATGGTGTATTCAGGACCAGCAAGTGATGCCAAGAGTTACTTCGAGAGGATAGGATACTATTGCCCGCCAAGACAGACCACCGCAGACTTTTTGACGGCTTGCACGGATCCTGCCGAACGCCGGTTTCAAAAGGATTTCCAAGGACCCATTCCAAAAGGCCCCGTTGAACTTGAGAAAGCCTTCAGAGAAAGTGAAGATTACAAATTACTTCAGGAAGATGTCGACTCTTATGAGAGGATGCTACATGAAACCGACCATGCGGACGCACGACAATTCAAAGCTTCCGTGGAAGAGACGAAATCCAAGACTGTTGGTCCCCGGTCACCTTACACAGTTTCATTCTTTCGTCAAGTCCTTGCTTGCACAAAGCGTGAAATTGAATTAACTCTGGGAGATAAGACAACTTTGTATACCAAGTTTTTCATTATAATTTCTAACAGCTTGATTGTTGGCTCCTTGTTTCATGGTCAATCGTCCAACACACTTGGAAACTTCTCCCGGGGTGGTACTCTCTTCTTCTCAATTCTGTTCCTTGGATGGCTTCAATTATCTGAATTAATGAAAGCTGTCGGTGGTAGACCAATCATTTCCAGACACAAAGATTATGCCTTCTACCGTCCGTCAGCCGTTGTAATTGCTCGTGTCGTTCAGGACTTTCCGCTTTTACTGCTGCAGGTTGTCCCTTTCTCGATTGTAGTGGTATGTACTTGGTTACTGGTGATTGTGTGGCAATTATACTAACAAATCATAGTATTTCATCACCGGACTTGATGTGGATGCTGGAAAGTACTTCATCTACGTGTTGTTCATTTACCTGACGACAATTTGCATCACCTCTTTATATCGTATGTTTGCCGCACTTTCGCCATCGATTGATGATGCTGTTCGATTTTCGGGTATTGGACTCAATCTTCTGATGTAAGTTACACTCACAATTTGAAGGATTGCCCTATTGACAATATATAGTATCTACACTGGTTATGTAATTCCAAAACCACAATTAGTGTCCGAATATATCTGGTTTGGGTGGCTATACTACATCAATCCTCTGTCGTATTCCTTCGAAGCCGTCATTTCAGACGAATTCTATAACAAGAATATCCCTTGTGCACCGGATCAAATTGTTCCCAGTGGTCCAGGCTATACGAATCCTGAGTTTCAGGGTTGTGCATCCACTGGTGCTGAGGTCGGAAGCTTGAGTGTGTCCGGAGCTAGATACCTTGAGCAAAGTTTCAACTACTCAAGGTCTCATCTTTGGAGGAATTTCGGTGTCGGTTAGTAATGATAATTTTCCGTATGAATTTCGGTATCTAATGTGTTCTAGTGATTGCCTGGACTGTACTTTACATTATTGTCACTGCTGTTGCCACTGAGGTATTTGACTTTACTTCTGGTGGAGGTGGTGCACTCGAATTCAAGCGTTCCAAAGCCGCGAAGAACAAGGTCAAGGCGGAAAATGCCACACCTGATGAGGAAAACTCACCAGCTTCTACCAGTCCAATACCTACAAGCGGCGCCTCTTCCAGCAACACCCTTGAACCACCCAAAGAAGAAGCACTCAAAGATATCACTGGATCTGAATCTGTGTTTACATGGGAAAACGTCGAGTATACAGTGCCATATCTTGGCGGCGAGCGCAAACTTCTCAACAAAGTCAACGGTTATGCAAAACCTGGTCTTATGGTGGCACTGATGGGAGCTAGTGGAGCTGGAAAGACGACACTTCTGAATACCCTTTCTCAACGTCAAAAGACAGGTGTAGTTACCGGTGATATGTTAGTTGATGGACGACCACTAGGAACTGAATTCCAGAGAGGTACAGGATTTTGCGAGCAAATGGATCTTCATGACGGCACGGCTACTATTCGAGAAGCTCTTGAGTTCTCGGCTATCCTTCGACAAGAACATACGGTTCCAAGAGCCGAGAAGATTGAGTATGTAGACAAAATCATTGACCTCCTCGAATTGGGAGATATGCAAGATGCTTTGGTCAGATCTTTGGGCGTAGAGCAGAGAAAGAGAGTCACCATTGGTGTTGAACTAGCAGCAAAACCTAACCTTCTCCTCTTCTTGGATGAGCCCACCTCTGGTCTCGACTCACAATCCGCCTATTCCATCGTTCGTTTCCTGAAGAAGCTTTCTGCAGCTGGTCAAGCTATCGTTTGTACAATCCATCAACCCTCCTCGGTCCTCATCCAAGAGTTCGATATGATCTTAGCCTTGAATCCAGGTGGTAACACATTCTATTTCGGGCCTGTTGGCGAAAACGGTTCGGCGGTGGTAAAATACTTTGCTGACCGTGGAGTACAATGCCCACCCCAAAAGAACGTCGCGGAATTCATTCTTGAAACTGCTGCCAAGGGTGGAAAACGTCGCGATGGCAAGAAAGTTAATTGGAACGAGGAATGGCTTAATTCGAACGAAAACAAGACTGTTATGCAGGAGATTGAGCGCATCAAGTCCGAGCGTGGCCAAGTTGCCGCTCCAGAAGCTAATTCCCAGCGTGAATTTGCTTCTCCGGTTATGCTACAAACAACTGAACTGACTAAACGCCTCTTCACTCAATACTGGCGTGACCCATCCTATCTCTACGGCAAGCTATTCACATCTGTCATCATCGGTATCTTCAATGGCTTCACATTTTGGCAGCTGGGTTACAGTATTATTGATATGCAGAACCGAATGTTCACTTCGTTCTTGATCATTCTTATCCCGCCTACCATTGTTAATGCTGTTGTGCCTAAGTTCTACCAGAACCGCGCACTATGGGAAGCCCGAGAACTCCCTTCGAGAATTTATGGTTGGGTTGCTTTTTGCACTGCGAACATCGTCGCTGAGATACCAATTGCTATTATCGGGGCAGTGATTTATTGGGCTTTATGGTATTGGCCCACTGGTCTCCCAAGTGATTCTTCCACTTCTGGTTATGTATTCCTCATGACAATGCTATTCGTAAGTTTCTCCCTTCTTTGCCCACTCTCTCATCACAACTTACTAATTACTTCATAGTTCCTCTTCCAAGCATCATGGGGTCAGTGGATTTGCGCTTTCGCTCCATCATTCACTGTAATCTCCAATGTTCTACCCTTCTTCTTCGTCATGTTTGGTCTCTTCAACGGTGTTGTACGCCCTTACTCTCAAATGTCCGTTTTCTGGCGCTACTGGCTTTATTACCTTAATCCAGCCACTTATTGGATTGGCGGTGTTATCGCTGCTACACTCTCCAAGGTTCCTGTTGAATGTGCTTCCAACGAAGCTGCTTATTTCAATCCTCCATCGGGACAAACATGCTCCTCTTATGCTAGTGACTTTGTCACTTCTGCTGGAGTAGGTTATTTGACGAATCCAGATGCGACGACAAATTGCGGATATTGTCCATACGCCAGTGGACAGGAATACATGAGGAATTTGAACGTCACTCCAGATGACAAATGGAAATATTTTGGTATTTTCTTGGCATTTTGCATCAGCAATTGGGCGTTGGTTTACTTCTTCATCTACACGGTGAGAATTCGAGGATGGAGTTTTGGATTTGCTACCTTATTTGGGGGATTGGGCAAGTTGGTCGGGAAGGTCAAGAGTGCCTTTAAGGGAAAAGAGAAGAAGAATGTGGATGAATCAAAGTAGGGTATTGATGAGATATGGAGACGATGGACTAATGAGGAGATGCCATTAATTAATCAAATCAGATTTTTGTATTTAGCGTTGGGATACCTAGTGTTAGTGTGTTAAGAGTCAAGACACACATGGGAAATTGGATTAAAATTCGGTTCCAGTTCCGAATGTGTTGAAGGGAAAAGCTATTCGAGGGACTTTTAGATAGGATAATGATTACTTTAATTATGAAGATATGTAACTTCTACTTTACGTTTTTTGTGCTCAAGACTGTGTAGTAGATTATGTTTGCTCTCTTTCGATACTTCACTGGAAATTTCGTATACAGCAATGATAAACCTTTGGATCTAAGCAGTGGAAGACGGGTTATCCTGTGTAAGGGGGATGTTGGGAACTGCAAATCGGTATACTGGTTTCTTTTTTTGGAATTTGCTATGCGGTGATGAATGAGGAAAGGAAAGAAAAGAAAAGAGAGGATTTAAGTTCTAGATCTTTGGACTTCGAAAATGAGACGCGAACAATCAATCTTGCCATCGCTCCTTCTGAGCTACATGTCCTACTAATTCACCACGTCTTTGTCAATTCAATCTTTTGACGTATCTTGATCTCATCTGTCATGTGAACATCCATTTGGAAATCTGGCGCAACTCACTTCATACTTCTTCCTTCACATGTCCGAAATGTGCGAAGCCAACTTCATTCTACTATCCATCTCATCTCATCTTCCAAAGACCAATTCATACAATGTCATCCACTACAACTTTATGCTCGCCCAGTCGAAAAAAAAAGCACATCGTCCTTGCAGCATAATCGAAAGACGTGATAGGATGATTAGAGCTCACATATCCAAATACCGCAGGGCAGTATTGATTCCAGACCATAGTCGTGTGTGCATGTGAAGACTTTCTCAAAAACATGAACCCGGTATTATCTTCACATAGGTCAACTCAACGAATGGCTATTCCTTGAGTCTGAGAGAGTTCAAGATCGTTAGGGAGATATTATATTGGGTTCATCTGTCATAGAGCATTCCCCTACGTGCGACGATACGAAATTGGTGATACGCGACTTTCTAGACTTCTAGAGGTCACGATGAAGAAATGTGAAGACTTCATTTAGTCTTGTCATTCTAGCTCTAGAATCGATCATCGAGTAATATCATGACATTCCACACACTTCAGAGTCCAGATAGCAGAGCTGAATATACAAACTACCATGTACGAAACAATTCCCTTCTCCTTAATCCGTGAGAAGCTACGTCTAGCCAAGTTCGAACCAAGCTTCTATCCTTGTACTCGTATACTTCCAGGTAGTCCCACAACCATCTCCACCTCCTCGCTTACCATCAAACTTTTTAAAGATTTTTCCTTCACTCTTATTCTACAGTTCATATTCTTAAACAAGAAGCCGACCTTAACGAACTATCAAGCAAAGCCCGCCCGGCTAGCTCAATCGGTAGAGCGTGTGACTCTTACTCATCGCAAGATGTTCTAGTCAATCACAAGGTTGGGGGTTCGACCCCCCCGTTGGGCTCAATTCCCATCGTCAATTGAAAGTACTTGATTTTTTGTATTTTTGAAGGTTGATTGACTATTTTTTGAAATCTGTTAGTTTTGATAATGGGCACTCACTGGGAGATTTAGAGTCTTAGACACGAGAAGGGAAGGAGAAGGGAGGAAAATAGGTAAGGGAGAGTTTTTCTTCTTTCTGGTGGAGTAGAGGGAGGGAGGAAGGGGTCCCTGTCGAGACGAACTTTTCCCACCCTCGCTCCCTCCGCTCCAATATTAAATCTTATCTCGTCACCCCACTCCGTCCCACTACCGGTAGAACAGCCCGCCTAAAAATTGAAGCCAAAATAAAAATCTCTCTCCAGCTTGTATTATTAATTCTAGAAAAATTAAAGCAGAAAATTGAATCATCATCAAATCCTCAATAATAAACAAATACCTAGATACTCTACTTATTTTCCGCACCACAGCGTCACAGTATTCAAAGAGTACTAATAAAAAAAGACTCTTCTATCCCGCTCGCGCCCTCTCATGCCCGCTCGTACCCCTCCTTCACTTATATAACCGACTCTTTTGCAAACTACTCCGTCTCCGCGTAAGCGAAATAAGACGCGGAAGCTGCGTACCATCCAGAAGGACTTTGATGATTCGAATCTCTCTTCAATATTGTATTAGATACATATAGTTCTCACTGTTAATATAAAGGAAGCTGAAACTTTCATTCGATCTTTTCAGAACCCAGTATTTGACTTGACATGAATTCATAATGCAATTAAGAAGTTCTATGGAAGAGGACTCGATTCCCGCCCTCTTATTTCGCTTACGTAGAGTCCGTGCAAAAAACCTCCCCAAGCCAAGAGACAGAAGAGACTCATCGAAATTCAAACTTATACATGGAAATAGAGCCCAATAAAGCATCCAGATCTTTCCTTTCTTAATCTTTCAACATCCCTCCCCCCCAAAATAACCCCAAAATATTCAAATCACAACTTTTACTCCATACTCCACTCTACACCATATATACACATACATACACACAAAACCCCCCTCCGTCCTTCAATTCTTCAATATCACCACATATCCACCTCGAGAAGAGAAAAATCCCACATTAACACTCAAGCCTATATTTCTAGAAGCTCGATCGATAGTGAAGAAAAACAAACGATGTTGAGATTGATATTGATATTGATATGTAGGTAGCTACCAGTACGTATATATAAAATATGGAGAGATATAAATCTAGAGTGGGAAGCGAAACATGTATACTTGTTGATGGCCAATTCTGGAGGTTCGAGATCTCTGGGTGGGTAGGTAGATACTAAGTAGGTGTATTGTTTGTTTAATAATAAAGCCTTTGGACGCAACGAGACGATGGGTCCCCCGTCTGCCTCCTGGCAGGTAGTCTTAGGATAGTCAATATTGCGAACTGTTGGCCGAAAATATGAGCTTCTTAGTGTTTGAATTCACTCAGAATGTTCGAATTTACGGTTCACATCAAGCATTCAATCTAAACATATTTTAGATTCCAGATCACTCAAATATTCTGTAACATCTAAACAGCCGAGAACATTCAATCTCAAGCATTCACATATATCCTGCCATTCTGGACTATTGGATTCCACGCGTAGTTCTAATATTGAATTTTATTAATTATGTAGGTGCGTATTGCACGGCATGTTCTGTATGAAGAGGAGGGGTATAACTTTAAAGACAAAAATGACAATTCGCTGATAGATCCGATGCATGAATACACAGGTAGAACCAACTAAGTTATTCCAACCAGATTCGTTCCGCCTTTTAAAGCCTATCCTATAACGCCAAGTATGGATGGGGTATTGCCCAAAGGAAAAACATGAAAACTGTTATTAGTTCGTAATGTCGTTTGTAGAGGAAGTGCTGAGCGAGGGTCGTTATTATATACAACTTCACTACGACTCTCAATTCGACGTTGTTTTGCCTGACTCAAGTACCCAAGCATTAACAATATGACCTTCCTGCCACCCCTGTGCTGACAATGATGTACTTTCTTTGAGAAGTTTGCCCATATAATTGATTTTCACATGCTTGGGTGGAGAAATCTAGTTCAGTTAATTAGCTTTGGAAGTTGTAGAAAACCGTTGAGAGATACAAACCTCAAGTCTCTGCGTTATTATTTTGATGAGTGAGCGCACCGGATCATTCTTCCCAATTTTGAACACTATGTCTCCATTGATACCGTGTTGGAACCTCGCTTTCACTGATATCATCTCTTTCGCCTTGGCTTTTCCTTTTGTTTCTCTCCTCTTTAATATTTCCTCATCAACTTCCTCACTTTCCTCCGCCAGGTCTCCTTCATCATCGCTCTTCCCTGTTGCTTCTGCCGTAGTATCGTCCAAGATATTCGCTGGATCAGAAACAACATGTTCGGGTACACGATATAATGCACCTGTACTGTCATAACATCCCCTGATTGCCATATCTCCATCAGGTAGCGTAATTTCTGCCGCATTCAATATCATTTGCGCAGTGGCTAGACCCCCATCATCCTCACCAGGCTCTCCACCTTTCCACATTACTTCCAATGAAGCTTTTATAGCTTGCCATATTTCGGGTCTCCCCGTAACGCGAGTGTCGAAGAATTCTATTCGTGCTCGATCTATTTCTCGCCGGGTCCATAACTTACTTCCACTCATCCATACGTGGGGCTTAAGAGGTTTGTTTAGATGTTCATCGAGGGGAATACGGTGGTGGGTTCGGGGAGGAGGATTGCTATTAGAGGAGGCATTTGTCGATGGTCTAGCTAGACCTGATCGAGATTGAGGTCGCGAGGATGATGCGATTGCTTGAGAAGAGGAAGCACCAGCTCCGGCAGAGTATTCAGTGCGGGGTCTAGAAAAACAACAACCCTGATTGAGAAGTTTATGTCAGCGGTTAACTTCTAGACCTGATTTGAATATTTGATTCAGTCATCTTCAGTAGATGGGAAAGATTTGCCTCTTGAATTTGATTTGAATATTTCAACCCATTTAAAACATTTCAGACATTGAGAGTTGGTGCGTGCAACAGAATCCTACTGGGAAAGACGAAGGACATATTTGAATAGGTTGTAAAGAGAGAACATACCATGATGCATCATATGCGAATCAAGTATTAACGTGCACGCACGTATTATTGAATTAGATTTTATAGATCTATGTATGGAGATTATGGAGATTATGAAGAAGGCGTATCAAAAATTTGAGGGGATTCCCCCCAAAAAAAAGATGGGCTACAATGAGATCGCCACAACCTGATGGTTTATAGAAGAGAGGAGATTACTGAAGAGTATGAACGAAAGCGGATACAAAATGTATAAGAGATAGAAAAGAGAAGGTTTGGATTATTCCATCGTTGCGTGGTTGAGTACTACCAGAATTGTCGATATGATTGCATATGATAAATTGTTGGTGCTTGCATTGCATGAGGTTGTATGTATGTATGGTGGGATGAGAGAGCACAAGCACGAGTTTGTTACTCTGGAGATTC